ACTCCCACCCTCTGAAGTCATAAACCCAATCAAATGCCTTATTTTGGAAGCTGTTTTGCTCAGGCTGTTTTACCAGAGCAATAGAAAAGTAACCACTACTGGATGTGAATGCACAGGGTCAGAAACTAAACAAGCCAGCAAAGATTCACAAAAGTTGAACCAGGGTATCTGCCCCTATGAATAGAGAGCCTGGGGACAAAGGCCTGGAGTGGCCACAGTAGTCTCATTCCCTGGATACTCAGGGTGTTTAGACTGTTAGCCTACTGTCCACCATAGGCTCTGGGCCCCTGAGCAGAACACACACATTACCCTATGAGTGGGCTGAACCCAGTGCCTGTGAACAGGCTCTCAGTTCAAGGAGCTGCCTGAAGAGTGCTGGATCTGGCAACAGACTGACCCTGACCCCCAAGTTTGTGTAGGGAGGATTATTTACCCTGTGTTCAGAATGTGAATACTTACGTGTGGCAATTATCAGACAGAATCTTTCCTCCGTATCACAGGTCTCTTCGACAGGGCAATTGAAAGAGTTTGTGTTGGCACATGCATAGCAATACATATCTGAAGAAAGAAAAAAAAACTACAGTTGAGTGTTTCCCCAAGAAGCCTTTCCACCATCCTACTCCCATCCTCCCTCCTCCCACAGCTGCTTCCCAGTGCACTTCTCCACACAAGCCACACCAAGGCCTGCAGAACTCAGAACTTGGCCTAGTCTAAGGTAGAGACAGACCAGCTCCAGGATAGGAGTGGTCCCTTCAAGAATCTTTTCTTTTAATAAAAGGCTGCTCACATGTCAAACAGCTGAGTTCTTCAAAGCTGTCCGCCCCTCTATGGAACAGTGGCCTCCCAGGACACCACAATCCTCCAGGACTTCTCTGGACCCAGTACCTGCTCTCCCTGCTGGGACGTGCTATGGACACTTGCTCCCTTGGCTTTCCTGGTCAGCAGCTCTCTGTGGGATCCTTCAGTCTACTCAACCCTATTGAATCTCAAGAGTACCACTCTAATCATGCTTACATATTAAAACCAGGTCAGTATATGATGAAATAAACTTTATTATGAGGCAAAAAAAAATCTAACTAATTTCCCTCTTTGTTTTTGCTGTGAGAAATGGAAAAGGGTCACGGTGACCTCATGATCCATGTCTAGTAACCAGAGCTGCCTGGTGTAGACACTAATGCCCTTTTGTTTTAATTTTTGTTTTGTTCTTCTGAGGCAGGGCTTCTCTGTGTAGTCATGACTGTCCTGAATCTCTCTCTGTGGATCATGCTGGCTTTGAACTTGCTTCTGCCTCCTGAGTGCTGGGATGAAAGGTGTCTACCACCAGTGCCCAGGAACATAATGTTGGCAGAAATCGAATTTACCCAGTGCATAAGAAGGAATGTTCAGGCTCTCAAGTTCTTTCTTAGTAATTTGACTGTGGCCCTTTGTTAAATTAGCAACAGCGGCAGCAGCTCAGTGTCCTGAATCACACATAGTATCAGGATTTTGAGACTGAGGAAGGGACATCTCTGGGAGTTTGAACTAGAGAAAGAAACCTTGTCTCAAACCCACAAGGCAGCCAATAAGATGCTTAGTGAGTAAAGGTGCCTGCCACCTGCTTCTGCTGAGTCCAGTTCCAAACACCTCATTTGAACCCTCATCAGTGTCTTCTTCCATCCAACACACTGTGAGTCTTGAGTTCAAACTTACTTTGCCTAGGTTGGATGACACTGTTCAACCCGCTGGTACTGTTGTCCAAACCGATGGTACTGTCGTCCAACACAAGAGAACTGTTGACAGCAGTGTCCACACATGGGAGCCCCAGGAGAATTAGCAAGAAGAAGGTGAGCATCATCTCCAACAGACAGGTGAACCTGAAAATGAAGAGGTCCATGGCCATCAGAGAGGGCAAGAAACCTTGACCCAGAACTATGTCCCCAGCATCAATGCACAGAGGAGGCATCCACAGCCTCTGCCTCAGCCGCCTACCCTAGTGCTCCTTCCCCAGGAAATTCGGGTCCTTGCCTACTCCACCCTGCTCTGCTGCATATGTGGATCTTGCTTCCCACTTCTGAAACTGTCCTGATGGTTCTGCATCTTCCCCTTCTAGACAATCTTCTTCTCACGGGCATAGTACACATCCTCCTCTCCCAACCTGTCCTTTATGCTAACAGTGGATTCAAGGTTTCCCTACCCTTGTTAGAAACCTTTCCTCATCTTCCTGCTCCCCCATTCTAGAATCATCCTTCTGAATCTCCTGTGTTTTCCTTATGGAACTGTCCCACTGGGCTTGATCTCGTCATCTCATAGCTGAAGCTTGATTGCTTAATTGTTATCTAATTTGCCCTTCTGGAATTTTCCAGGTTAGTCACTCAAGCTCTGTTAGCACCTCTCAAGCTGCTGGACCCTCTGACATGTCTGTACTCAGGGGAACATTCTAGAAGGCCCTTCGTGAGGAAGATGAGTGACATCTTCGTTCTGGAGACCATCCTAAAGATTGTCCCACACTGGGTCTCTGTACCTCCACTCCTTCTTTCAGGCTCCAAGCTCTGGAGCGCCATTCCTCAATCACAACTCTGAACATTACTCTGAGTGGTTCAATCAAGATTGAAACCCCTCACTTGGCATTCCTCCTGCAGGGCTCTGAACCTCTATTGTTGCCATTTCTCAGAATGTGGCGCTCTCTATGCACTCCTCCCCCAGGCCCTCTATCTGTGTGCCTCTGCTCCAGACTTTCCTCCTGGAGCTCTGCTCTGAGGCTCTGATCTTCTCTGAACATCCCTTGGTGCCCTTTCCTTAGTCCTCAAACATAATGGGTCCTTCTTTCAATCCTCTGACCAACTCTTGGTACCAATACCTCGGTTCCCCAACCCTCTCTTGGTGTCTTTCTCGCAAGGATCCAACTCTCTTTTTATCTATCTATCTATCTATCTATCTATCTATCTATCTATCTATCTATCTATCTATCTATGTATCCATCCATTTATGTATGTATGTATCCATCTATGTATGTATGTATGTATGTATGTATGTATCTATCTATCTATCTATCTATCTATCTATCTATCTATCCATCCATCCATCCCTCTTCCTCTCTCTCTCAATTTCCCTCCCTGCCTAGGATCTTTACCTTTGATTCTAACGCTTTACTTGGGGCCCCTCTTTCAGCAATCCAGCCCTCTTTGGCTCCCTTCTTCCTGGGCTTGGAGCCTCTTTTGGAGACCCTTTTAAGGGCTCTAAACAGCTCCTGGCGCCTTCTTCCTGGCCTCCTACTCTTCATTACCTTCCCTCTGGCTTCGGAACTTCTATTGATTGGCCTGCTTCCCTCTAAGTGTCCATCCTATTAGCATCCTCAGGGCTCTGAGCATTTCTTGGCCCTCTTCCTCCTCATCTCTCTTTGTTACCCTCCTCCAGGTTCTTAAACTCAAAGGGCACCCTCCCAAGAAGTCACCCCAAATCTCCTGACACCCGTTTCTCGAAGATCTCACACTCACTTTAGGTCCTTTCCTCAGAGCTCCTATCCTGTCTCAATGGTCTGAATCTCTCCTGGGGCCCAGGTTCTTCTGTCCTCAGAGCTCTAACTATTTTGGACCTCTCATTCAAAGATCAATACTTCTCTTGGAACTCCCCTCTCAGACTCCGAAGCTCTCTTGGGGCCCTTCTTTCAGAATTCCAGTTCTCTCTTGGTGCACTTCCTTTGGATTCTAATCCTCTCTTCTAATGGAATTTCTCTGCCACACTTTTCTCAAGACTCTTATGTGACTCCAAACTTCTCTTGGTCCCCTTCTGTCAGAGCTCAGAAACTCTCTAGGATCAGTTCAGTGAGGGCTCTGACCCTCTCTTTCAGTTACTCCCTCAGGAATATGACTCTCTTAGAGCCACACCTTCAGGACTCCCTCTTTCTTGGCATAGCAACTGCTCCCTCATGGTGCCACACATCTCTAGGCACCCCTCTCTCAAGGCTTTGACACACTCTCGGGGTTTCAACATTCTTTGGTGTCCTTCTTTAAGGCTGAACTCTCTAGATACACTTCCCTCAGGGTCCTGGTCCTCTCTTCTATCGCCTCAGAACTCTGTTACTTGGTACCCTCTATCAAGCCTCGGACCCTCTTCCCCTCTCTCTTTATCCCTCAGGACTCAAAGCATGTCTTGGTGCACTTACTTAAAAGCCACAACTCTCTCTCAACCTCTCTTTATGCCTTTCCTCAGGACTCTGAAACCTCTTTGGAGCCCTTCTTTCAGGGCTCCAACTCTTTTTGGTTCCTCTGCTAGTACCTAAATCCTTTCCTTGAGCCCTTTTCTCGGGGATCCAAGTTTGTGTTGGCACCTCTTCTTCACGACTGCCCAATCTCTCTTGGCAAACCCTTTATCTAGGCTCTAACCCACTCCTGATGTCCCTACTTCGGGGTACCTGGCTCCCTTCCCTCAGATTTCATGTCGTTCTTTGTCAACCTTGCCTCTGGGTTCCAACCATCTCTTTCTGCACTTTCTTTAAGTCTCTCTTTTAAGCTCTCTCTTGGCGCTCCTACCTCGGGGCTATAACTTAGTTTTGGAGACCTGCCTTTGTGTCCCAATTTCTTTGTTGGCACCTTTCCTTCATATTTCCAACTTTCTTGAATCCTTTGCCTCACAGTTCTGAGTTCCTCTTCTAATCCCTTAGCTCTCCAACGGTCCTTTGATTCACTTCCGTAGCCCTCTGACCCTGAATTGGTGCCCTTCCCTCACGGTTCCGAGTCTCTCTTTGTGTTCTTCCCTCAAGGTTCCAATCTTTTGAGGGGAAGGATGCCCAGAGAGGCTCTGAGAACTAAGGGGCGCATGTCAAGAGAGGTGAATCCCTAAAATATGATATCAAAGGAAGAGTCCAAGTCGCAAGCGAGGACTGCCTGAAGAGCATCCAAGTTCTGAGGGATGGGCCAAGAAAAGGAGCACTACAATTGGAGCCCCTGAAGTGGTCTGAACACTGAAGGAAGTATAAGCGTGGGTCGAAGCCCTGAGGGAAACTCTCCAAGAGAGTCAAGAGAGGGTCCAACCCTGAGGGGAAGTTCACCAAGAGATACTGAACTCTGATAGAAGGGCAGCAACAAACATTTGGAGAGAGGCACACCACGACAAGGATGGAGTGCTGTGGGGCAAAGTGGACCAAAGAGAGGTGCAGTAGTGAGGTGTCAGAACCGGAAAGGAAGAGCGCCAAGACAGTCAGAACCCCGAGGGAACTGCACCAAGACAGGGTCAGAGTTCTACATACGTGCACCAAGAGACCACTGGAGATCTGAAGGGTCTGAAGAGGGGCTCAGGGGGACTTGATTGGGGAAGGGGAAGGGAAAGGGAAGGCGGCGGTGGGGAAGAGACAGAAATCTTAAATAAATAAATAAATAAATAAATAAATAAATAAATAAAACCCCGAGGGAAGGGCCCCAAGAAGGTTAGAAATGACAAATTCCTCGGCAGCTGGGATGGAGAGCTTTGAAGAGCTCAGCTGTTTTCCATGTGATCAGCCTTTTAGAAAAAGGAAAGATTCTTGAAGGGACCACTGCTATTCTGGGAGCTGCTCTGTCTCTGCCTTAGTCTAGAGGCCAGGTTCTGAGCTCTGAAGCCCTGGGGTGGCTTGTGTGGAGAAGTGCACTGGGAAGCAGCTGTGGGAGGAGGGAGGATGGGAGTAGGATGGTGGAAAGGCTTCTTGGGGAAAAACCCAACTGTAGTCTTTTCTTTCTTCAGAGATGGGTTGCTATACATGTGTCCATTCAAACTCTTTCAAATGCCTCAGGGAATAGGTTTGTGATATGGATCAAAGTTTCTGTCTGATAATTGCCAAGCGTAAGTACTTACATTCTGAACACAGAGTAAATAATCCTCCCTACACAAACTTGGCGGTCAGGGTCAGTCTGTTGTCTCTGCAGCCAGATCCAGTGCTCTTCAGGCAGCTCCTTGAACTGAGAGCCTGTTCACAGGCACTGGGTTTGGCCCACTCATAAGGTAATGTGCGTGTTCTGCTCAGGAGCCAAGAGCCTATGGTGGACAGTAGGCTGACAGTCTATACACCCTGAGTATCCAGGGAATGAGACTGCTGTGGCCACTCCAGGCCTTTGTCCCCAGGCTCTCTATTCATAGGGGCAGACACTCTTCTGTGAATCTTTGCAGGCATGTTGGTTTCTGACTTTTCTCACACAGGCCTCCCTCACTCTGACCTTTTTATGGTGTTGACCCTTGCTACCATTTCCTCGGGGCTCCCACTTTCCTTTTCTCTCCCTTAAGGCCCCAACCATTTCTTGGTGTACTCCAAGGATCCTCCTATCTTTGTCAACCTCTCTTGGTTGACCTTTGTCTGGGAAGGAGCAGACAGCAATGGTTTGTCTCCTGAGGCTGGAGAAGATTTGGACATGCTGCTAGGCTTTACTTTTCCAATATCAACAACAACCTGGTAATACCTTTAACAGGTACAAATCACCATATCAGAACAAGACAGAAATGGCCAATTGCACACATTTTCCACGGTTCCTGCACGGACGGGTTCATTAAATTAATGCAGTGTGTGATGTTGAGCATTGACAAGGTCCTCATAAATGAAGCTCTGTGGAGTCCTTTCTCTATCACAGTGCAATTAACCTGTGAACTATAGTGAGGGAAGGGACTGCCATATACTAAACAGGAAGGAACTTTCCATGCAGCCAGTAGACAGGCAGCCCACCCTGCAATGAGGAAATATTGTCTGATGGATGACTCAGGAAGAGAGGACTCATCAAAAATGAGTAGAGATCCCTGACAGAGAGCTGAAGTTCAACTATGGATTGACACAGAGTTTATGTGGGGAGGGGGCTACTTGGGTTGTGATCACGATGTCCTTCTGTTGTCAGGCAG